TAAGCCCTCGAGATTGCTACTTCTAAAAACGAAATAAAATTACGCTCCGAGATAGCTAGTTCTAAAAAAGAAGATCGGGGTTTCGAGGTTCTTTCTTGGTAAAATCGTAACACAGTTGGCCCCTGAGATTGCTACTTATAAAAGTGAAACAAAATGGGCCCCCGAGATTGCTACTTCTAAAAATGAAACAAAATCGGATCTTTATACTGTTATATGCTATATCGAAATTTGAAACATAATTAGCTTCCGAGATTGCTAGTTCTAAAAAAGAAGATCGGGGTTCGAGGTTCTTATTCTGTTGTGTACTAGTTCTAAAATTGAAACAAATTTAACTTCCGAGATTGCTACTTCTAAAAGCGAAATACAATTATCCTCCGAGATTGATATATCTAAAAACGTAACAAAATCAGAATTCTCAGGTTCTTTCTTCGTAAAATCGTAAAATGAACCTGCGAGCTTGCTACTTCTAAAAACGAAACAAAAATTACGCCCCGATATTGCTATTTCTAAAGAAGAAGATCGGGGCTTGAGGTTCTTATTCTGTTGTGTGCTATTTCTAAAATCGAAATAAATTTATCTTCCGAGATTGCTACTTCTAAAACCAGAACACAATTATCCTCCGCGATTGAAATTTCTAAGAACGTAACAAAAACAGAATTTCGAGGTTCTTTCTTCATAAAATCGTAATACATTTGGCCCTAAGAATACTAATTCTGAAAGAGAAACACAATTAGCCGTCGACATTGCTACTTCTAAAAACGAAACAAATTTAGCTGCCAAGATTGCTACTTCTAAAAGCGAAAAACAATTTACTCTCAAGATTGATATTTCCAAAAACGTAACAAATTCTGAATTTCGAGGTTCTCTCTTCGTAAAATCGTAACACATTTGGTCCCTGAGATTGCTAATTCTAAAAGTGAAAGAAAATGAGCCCCCGACATTGCTACTTCTAAAAACGAAACAAAATCACACCCCGAAATTGCTAGTTCTAAAAAAGGGTGTCTTACTTCTAAAATCGAAACAAACTTAGCTTCCGAGATTACTACTTCTAAAAGCGAAACACAATTATCCCCAAGATTGATATTTCTAAAAACGTAAAATTTCGACTTTCCTTCTTCGCAAAATCGTAACACATTTGGCCCCTGAGATTGCTAGTTCTAAAAGTGAAACAAAATGAGCTCCCGAGATTGCTACTTCTAAAAACGAAACAAAATCAGATCTTTATACTGATATCGAAATTTGAAACATAATTAGCTTCCGAGATTGTTACTTCTGAAAAGGAAGAAAATGGGGATCTCGAGGTTCTTTATTCTATTGTATGCTATTTCTAAAATGGAAACAAAATTAGCCTCCGAGATTGCTACTTCTAAAAACAAAATACAATTATCCCTTGAGATTGATATTTCTTAAAACGAAACAAAATCGAGTTCTCAGGGTTCTTTATTCTGTTTTATGCTATTTCTAAAATTCTAACACATTTGGCCCCTGAGAATGCTAATTCTAAAGGTGAAAGTGAATTAGCCCCCAAAATTTCTACTTCTAGAGGTTCTTTATTCTGTAATATGTCATATTTATAATAGAAACATAATTAATTCCCGAGGTTGCTATTTCAAAAATCGTAACACATTTGACCCGTGAGATTGCTAATTCTAAGAGTGAATCAAAATGAGTTGATTAATGTTTGTAGTTATTATAATTATTAATGACTGAATTTTATATTAGTGACATTAACTTAATTTTAACGGAACAACGTTTTGAAAATATTGATATTTTAACATATTATTTTTGTATACTGTTATAAAATAAACCCATAGGCCGCCCAGGTACGACGCCTATGGGTTTTCTCAATATATAATCGCAATCCCACAAATTTGTATAATGCGTTTGTTTCATTTTTAACTTTTAACAACTTAATACAACATAATCGCGTTCTAAATGCTAATGGCCGTATACTGGATGCAATTGTAACATCGGACGCTATAAGCTCTTCCATCGAGCACAATATAGAACCTCTGGTAAAAGAGGACAGTCACCATCCTTCATTATTAATGAAATTTTTTATCAACGTCATAAATGAAACCAAATTTGAACCAGCACAAACAGATAAGAAGTCATTTAATTTTAGAAAAGCTGATTTCAAAGGATTATATGAAGCTATATCAAAAGTAAATTGGAATGAAATGTTATTAATTGAAGATATAAATAAGGGTTGCGAATATCTAACTAATGTTATTACTAAATTGTTTTCTATATACGTTCCTCAACGAATAAACAAACAAAAAAACGTCTATCCTGTATGGTTTAATACCGACATTGTTAGAGCAATAATACAAAGGAAGTATCATTGGAAAATGTATAAAAAATACAAGGTTTTGTCACACAAAGAACGGGCGCGGCAATTAAATCAAAGAATAAGAAGTGCAGCAAGGGAAGAATACCAGAATTTTTTAAATTCTGCGGAAGAGAAAATTAGAAACGATCCCTCTCAGCTATGGTCTTTTGTAAATGAGAAAAACAAATCGTCAAGAATTCCCGGAGTCATGTCGCATGGTGAGAAAAAACTTGCCAATCCTCAGGACATTGTCAATAACTTCGCCATTTTATTCAGCAGCGTGTTTAAACAATATAATAGTAACTCAACTGTAAGTTCAAATCAGTGTGATAATAAGAAATGTGATGCGAAATGTGACTGTGATAACATCTGTGATAATAATTTAAATGTACCTGTTTTACACAATTTTGTTATAAATGAAAAGGATATTTCTAAATGTGTGCGGAAAATCAAAGCAAATTTTACAATGGGTGCTGATTCTATTCCGGCTTTTTTTATTCGTGATTGTATATCTTGTCTTATCACGCCCCTCCAACATCTTTATAACTTAATTTTAAAAACGGAGGTCTTCCCAGAAAGTTGGAAGATTGCAAGGGTATGTCCTATCTTCAAATCCGGCTCTAAATTTGAGATAACAAACTACAGACCTGTTGCAATTATTCCAAACTTTGCAAAGTTATTTCAAATCATATTGTTTGATAACGTTTATAGCCATATATTACAGCAGTTAACCGATCACCAACACGGTTTTGTACGAGGTAAATCAACATGTACGAATTTATGCAATTTTACACAATTTGTCTCAGATTCTTTAAACTGCACACAACAGGTAGATACAGTATACATGGACCTATCCAAAGCTTTTGATGTTGTAAACCACCCAATTCTATTGAAAAAGTTACATAATTTCGGATTATGCGATAGTTTAGTTAATCTTTTTAAATCGATATTAAGTGGCCAAAAGCAATATGTTGAATATTCAGGTTATAGGTCACCAGTGTATGAATGCCATTCTGGTGTTTGTCAAGGATCCAATTTAGGACCTTTATTATTCATTATTTATATTAATGATGTGGTAAAATGTCTAAACTTTGATTGTCGTATTTTTTTGTATGCAGATGACATTAAATTAGCAAAAATAATTGATAATCTCCAGGATTGTGAAAAGTTGCAGAAACTTCTTGATGCAATAATTCGTTGGTGTCAAATACACAAGTTAGACATAAATATTAACAAGTGCTGTATTGTGTCATATAACAGGAAAACTAATGTTATAGAATATAATTATAATATTGGAGGAGTAGAGATTAAGAGATGTACTGAATTTAGAGATTTAGGTATCATTATGGACTCTAGACTGTCGTTCGTACCTCACATTAATAATATTAACTGTAAAGCTCTGAAGATGTTAGGTTTTGTCATACGCACTACAAAAGATTTCAAAAATACGGATTGCATGTTTTTATTGTACTTCGCTTATGTTCGCTCTATTTTGGAGTACTGTACGTTAGTATGGGATCCATATTATAATATACATATTTCCGCATTAGAAAATATCCAAAGAAGATTTTGTAAGTACGTATACTTTAGGAAACATGGGATATATCCAGTCCGTAATTACCCACAGAAACTACTGCTAGCTGAATTCGATTTAATACCCCTTGTAGATCGACGGAAGTACTTCTCTTTAACCTTTTTATATAAATTATTACATGGCATTATTCAGGACAGTAACCTTCTTTCTCAGATTAACTTTTGTGTACCTAGACTTAATAATCGTCAACCACTTGTATTTTCTAATCAGGTATCACGTACCAATCAACACTTGCATTCCCCTATACTAAATATGACTAGGTTATATAACGTTAATGCTGCGCACTTGGACGTATTTGTTGAAAACTTTCGTTTTTTTTGTTGTACGTGTAAAAATCTATGTTACAATTATACACCACAATTAGCATGAACGTCTACTTACTAATAACTTGTATGTTTTTTTTTTTGTGTATTGTGAAATTATTCAAATGTTATTATGTACTATTTTGCCCTATATGAGCTTGCTCGTTGGGCTGTAATAAATTATTATTATTATTATTATTATTATTATTATTCTCGAGGGTTTTCTGGTATGTACGGCGACGATGGGCGACTCATCATCGGTGACGGCGGCCGGGCGGCGTTCGCATAAAGAAAAACCATGTGGGAATTATTCTGCACATAATCTTTGTATAGTTTAGTTAGTCGTGTAAATTTGTCCTACTGAAAAATAAATTGTTGCCGATTTTAAACAGCTGTAAATCCTAATAATTATATTTTTTGAATGAATGCTTTAAGGACGAGAAAAATTCCTGCAAATAACTTTGTTTTCCTTCGTATTTCGGGGCCGCATTTCTCTACTCATCTGCGCTAGATCCGCCACTGGAAATAACCATCCGGAAAGCTCCCATAGCTACCATTATCGCAGTAAAAAAATATTCGCCTCGACTCGTCGCAAATTCCTCCATTTCTCCATAATCGCACTCGTCGCGTCACTAGTGAAAGTCCTTCCCTCTCGCCGCCAAACCGCCTACTTCCACTCGATCGCAACCCCATTGATCCTCATCTCTCCAAAAGTATTCGTACAAAAGCGGGCAAGATCCTGCTGCATATCCTGTAGTATCGATTTTGCAGGGCAAAGGCAGCAGAGCACCGGGGCGTGTAGTCTGGCTGTGAATTCGCGCTGGGAAGGGTGTGCTTCGCAGGCCGGAGAATTGGGGAAGGTTAGGAGCAATTAGGGAGCCACCGAAGACCGGCCAAATTGGGAGCTAATGGGGGAACCCGAGCTGTGCTGATCGATCCGAAACCGTGCCATGACCACGTCAAGGTAAAAAAACCCGATTTTTACGTAATAACAAAGCGAGAATTTTTCGTGGGATATCTAAATTATGATCGGTTTCACTTTCTTCCGTGAAAGTCGGACAATTAGTCTGATGCGTATGGGTCTGGTGTAGAGCTGGTTTGGTCGGTGTGTGAAGGACGGCGTATGACAACTTTTACAGATTTTTTTAAATAAATAAACTTTTTTTAAGATATTTTTTTCATTTGTTATTAACATTTCATAAGAAATAACACATTCGCACAACTTCGATTGGCAAATAACATTTTCAAAACTCTTTTGTAAACAGTTACAATAAAATAAACCCATATTGCTGAACTACATTCGGTTTATGACGTCATGCGCTTTTCGGAGGGGATAAATACATAAATCTTTTATGGACAACAGTGCGATTAATTTTTTATACTTTTCAACAAATGAAGTCAAGTAGGTTAGGATGTACAAAAGATATAAATTTTGGTAAAAATCTAGTGACTACAGGCATCCTTAAAAATTTATCTGTAAAGATATCCTGCCTAGAATTTTAGAAAAATTGTTAATTAAAAGTTGATCAAAGAATATGAACTGAAGTCCAGTGTGTTTTGATTTTTATTTTTTATTACTTACTCAGGATGGCCACAAAAATTTAACATAAATATATAATTTTTCAATTTTTCGTTTCTTCAGTTTTTTGATTATACAATTTTTCGATTTTAGAATTTTTCGAATTTTTCGTTTTCTCGAGTTTTAAGTTGTAATGAAAATACAGACGTTCAAAAATCGAAAACCTGGAAAACACAAAAACCGAAACTTGAACCATCAAATAAGTGCAAAGCTGAAAAATTGAATTGAAATACAAAAAATTAAATTATGTGTCAAAATTGATAATGAAACACAAAAAAAATTGATAATTTGAAAAATTAAAAATCAGCAAATCGGAAAATCGAAAAATTAAAAATGGAAAATCAGCAAACAACAAATCGCAAGTTCAAAAATTCAAAATTTAAAACAGAAAAATCGAAAACATGAAAAATCAAGTAATTTCGAAACCGAAAAATCAAAAACTGGAAAAATTACAAACTTATACAATTGAAGAAACGACAAATCAAAAAAAAAAAAATGGAAAAATTAAAAATCGCAACACTGAAAAATCAGTAAACGAAAATTTAAAGTTCAAAGACCAAAAATTTGAAAAATCAAAAAATTAAAAATCGAGAAATAGAAAGCTTGAAACCCGAAATATCGCAAAATCATATAACATTCAAAAAAGAAGAATTGAAGAAAACTCGAAAAATTAATAATCGGAAAATGGAAAAATCGAAGACATGAAAAATTGAATAGTTGCCAAATTGAAGAAATGAAAAATCGAAAAAGTATACTGGAAAATTAAAAATGGAGAAACCGAAAAATTTAAACAAAAATATCGTAAACGAAAATTCAAGAGTTGAAAAATTGAAACACTGAAAAATAGAAAAATTAAAAACTTGGAAAATCAAAAAATTGCGAATCTGTAAAGTTGAGGACCCGAACGATTGAAAACTCGAACAAAATAAACCCACAAAATTAAAAACCGACGAACCGAAAAATTGAAACAGAAAAATCGACAAACGGAAATTCAAAAGTTCAAAAATCGAAAAAGGGAAACAAAAAAAATATCGAAAACTTGGAAAATCAATAAATTGCAAAATTGTAAAAATGAAGAAACGAAAAATGAAAAATCGAAACACTGAAAAGCAAAAAATTAAAATATGGTGTAAAAATTGAATAATGAAACACACACAAAAAATGATAAATTTAAAAATTAAAAATCAGGAAATTGGAAAATCAAAAAATTGAAAAATCGGTAAATTAAAATTTCAAACGTGTAAAAAATGGAAAAATTAAAAATCGACAAACGAAAATTCAAAAGTTTGAAAATCAAAAACTTCAAAAATCAAATTCAAAAGTTTGAAAATCAAAAACTTCAAAAATCAAATAATTGCAAAACCAAAAAATCGAAAAAAATGGAAAGTCGAAAAATCGAAAACTGGAAAAATTTCACAATTTTAAAATTGAAGAAACGAAAAATGAAAAAAATCGAAAATTTTAAAAATAGAAAAATCAAATACATCGAAAAAGTATATTGAAAAATTAAAAATGGAGAAACCGAAAAATCTAAACAGAAAAATCGACAAACGAAAATTCAAAAGTTGAAAAATCGAATCGCTGAAAAATAGAAAAATGAAAAACTTGGAAAATCAAAAAATTGCGAATCTGTAAAGTTGAGGAAACGAACGATTGAAAACTCGAACAAAATAAACCCACAAAATTAAAAACCGACGAACCGAAAAATTGAAACAGAAAAATCGACAAACGGAAATTCAAAAGTTCAAAAATCGAAAAAGGGAAACAAAAAAAATATCGAAAACTTGGAAAATCAATAAATTGCAAAATTGTAAAAATGAAGAAATGAACAATGAAAAAGCGAAACATTGAAAAATGAAACACAAAAAAAATTGATAAATTGAAAAATTGAAAAATTAAAAATCAGGAAATTGGAAAATCAAAAATTTGAAAAATCGGTAAACGTCTAAAAAATGGAAAAATTAAAAATCGAAAGAGAAAAATTGACAAACGAAAATTGAAAAGTTTGAAAATCAAAAACTTGAAAAATTCAATAATTGCAAAATTGGAAAATCGTAAAATTAAAAACCGAGAAGCTGAAAAATCGAAACGCTAAAAAATTTATAAATGAAAAATCCATAAATTGCAAAATTGTAAAAATGAGGAAACGAAAAATTAAAAATGGAAACTCTGAAAAATCAACAAACAACAATTCTCAAGTTCAAAAATCCAAAATTTCAAACATAGAAAAATCGAAAATTTGAAAAAACCAGTAGGTCATTGCAAGACTGAAAAATCGAAAAAATGCAAAGTTAAAAAACCAAAAACTGGAAAAAGTGCAAAATTATAAAATTGAAGAAACGACAAATTAAAAAAAATGGAAAAGTTAAAAATTGAAACACTGAAAAATCAGTAAACGAAAATTTACAAGTTCAAAAAACCGAAAATTTGAAAAATAGAAAAACTGAAAACATGAGAAATCAAAAACTGGAAAATCAAAAAATTAAAAATCGAGAAACTGAAAAATTGAAAAATCGACAAATAGAATATTTTTAAAAGTAAAAAAATCGAAAAACTGTAAAATGGGAAAATTGAGAAATAGAAAACTTGAAAACCCGAAAAATCGCTAAGTTATAAAGATTGAAAAATCGGAAAATGGAAAAATCAAAGACATGAGAAATTAAAGAAACGTTTTTCCTACGAAAAAGAAAATCTTGAAACGGAAGATTGAAAACTCGAAAAAATAAACCGACAAAATTAAAAATCGAGGAATCGAAAAATTAAAAAATAGAAAAATCGGGGACTTGAAGAATGGATAAATTGCAAAATTGTAAAAATGAATAAACGAAAAATTAAAAAATCTAAAAATTCAAACGAAAATTCGCAAGTTCAAAAATAAAAAATATAATAAATCGAAAACTTGAAAAATGAAATAACTGCAAAACCGAAAAATTAAAGAAATAAAAAATTGAAAAACCGAAAAAATAAAAATAGGGAAACTAAAAAATTGAAAAATCCACAAATCGAATGGATATGTAGTTTAAAAATCGAAAAACTGTAAAATTGAAAAATAGAAAATTTGAAAACCTGAAAAATCGCAAAATTAAAAATCGAAAAATTGAAACCGAAAAATCCATAAACGAAAATTCGGAAATTTAAAGTACGAAAATTCGAAAAATAGAAAACTTGAAAAATCAAATAATTGCGAAACCGAAAAATCGAAAAAATGGAAAGTTTAAAAATAAAAAACTTTTTTCACGAAAAATAAAAAAAATCCAGAAATTAAAAATTCAAAATCTGAAAAATAGAAAAATTGAAAACTTGAAAAATCACACACTTGCAAAATCGAAAAAATGAAAAATGGGGAAATCTGGAAAAATTGCAAAATTGTAAAATTGAAGAAAGGGAAAATTAAACAAATTGAAAAATTAAAAATCGAAACTCCGAGGAAACGAAAATTTACAAGTTCAAAAATGCAAAGTTTGAAAATTAGAAAAATCGACAAATTGAAAAATCAAGTAACTCCAAAACCGAAAAATTGAAGAAACGAAAAATCGAAAAATTATAAATCGGAAACTGAAAAATTAAAAAATCGACTAATGAAATATTCAAAAGTTAAAAAATCGAAAAACTGAAAAATTGAAAAAATGAAAAACTGGAAGATCGAAAAATTAAAAATTGAAAAAATTAAAAACTGAAATAATCGAAAAATTAAAAATCGAGAAACGAAAATCCAAAAGTTCATTAATAATAGAAAAATAAAAAAATATAAAAATCGAAAACTTGAAAAATTGAATATGTAATTGCAAAATTGTAAAATCAGCAAACGAAAATTCAAAAAAGCACAAACCGAAGAATTAAAAAATAGAAAAACTTGAAAAATCGAATCATTGCCAAATTTAAAAAAATTAAAACATGTAAAAATTGAAAAATCGAAACATGAGCCTTTCTGACTTTTCCAAAATTCTAGGAACATGACATCGTTGTCAAAAATGTTGGGGTATTCCTTTATTTGGTGTTTAGTGATCCAACTTTACTTTACTTTACTTACGTGGGTTGTAAAAAAATCAAATATGCCTATAACATTTGACAATTTGTCTTTGAAAATATATCAGTTAATCGCTTATTCGTCCAAATAACGTCTAATAAATGTTTCTAGTTTAACTGGAAAAAGAAAATTTTGTTTACTTATTATTAGCAACACGTAACTATCCAGTGGCTGTTCGATCTACCGTGAAATCGAAAATAAAACGAATTGAAATTGGTCGTGAGACCAGTTGTGGTGGTATCACTGCATAACTGATTCATGACATCATTATATGTATAGTTATCTCAACACCCAGTGATAAAATGGATTAGTTTTACAGGTTATGTTGATACTAGTTTATGTCAAATTGAGGACAGTA